AGCCCCGTCCCCTGCCCGCCCGCTTTCCGCGGACAGGCGTTTCCGTAGGAGTTGGGGGGTTCTTCTGAGCTTTTCGGCTACTTTTCTTTGCTCCGTGTACCTGAGAGAAAGTCGGATGGGTTTGTAGTTGTTTTCCCAAGCTGGAGGCAGGCAAACGGGCAGCGTGTGTTCAGAGGTACGTTGCTGGCCTCCGAGAGCAGAGTTCCAAGGAAGGATTTAAAATCTCAGGCTGGCTTTGTTTGATCGAGGTTATCTGCGACTTTCATAGAATCATAGAATGTTTTGGGTTGGAAGGGACCCCTAGAGGTCACCCAGCCCAACCCCCCTGCAGGGAGCAGGGACACCGCTAACCAGATCAGGTTGCTCACAGCCCCGTCCAACCTGGCCTTGAATGTTCCCAGGGATGGGGCCTCCACCACCTCTCTGGGCGACCCCTGCCAGGGTTTCACCACCCTCATTGTAAAGAATTTCTTCCTTAGATCCAGTATATCTTTCCTTATGACACAGTGTGTAAAGTAGGCATTAGGGGCTGAGTGCTCTGATCCAGAACAAAACAGGCCTTTTTTAGTCATCGGAGATGTTCTCGTCTTTATCGCTGGGGTGGAGTCACTCTCAAATCACATGATTTAAGATTTTTAAGACTTTTTGAGAATTTTGAAGACATAATTTTCAGTCTCTCTGGATAAATGTGTATCTTCCCTTTTCCTAGTGCCTGGTGAGAGTAAGCCTTCCCTTTTCATTTAAGGAAATGTAAGGTTTCACACGCTAGTGTTTCTGGAAGGGTTTATTTCATGTATGGGATTGCGTGCTAAACGGTATTTAGAAATTCAAAGGCTTGAGCATGAAGTGTAACAATTTTTTTTTAAGCAGCACAGAGGTCTAAACTTTTTTAAAGTTCTCTTCAACGAGAGATTCTTTTAATGTGCTGTTTTAGGAAAAACATGAGCTTGCAGCTTCAATAACTATTTAATTCTTGGTTTTCATTCCATGTTGTCTATCTTGTATGCTAGAAAGGAGGTACTGTGGAAAGGGTAGTTTAGACATGTTAATGTGTGGTTGTATTAAAAACGCACAAATGCAAGCAATTCCAAATTTGGTATCGGTTGAGGATAATACTCCTTAAATTTAGTTTCGGAGTGAAGATGATGTGGGTATAAAACGCCAATGCTAAATGTTTCCCTTGAGAAAATTAGTTTAAAATCAAGGGTGCCTGTTGTGGGGGGAGGTCCGTTTTACTATAAAACAAGTTTTTTCCACAGGTAGGTGGAACTTGTTTCACAGCTGGATGTAAGTATAGATGGCTACAACTTAAATATTTCCAAGGTGGCTATCTGACAGGTTAAGTTTTCTGCAATGAACTTCCACAAAAACTTCTCGTAAATGAAGCAGGGGTCTAATTTTGCAGCCCTTGGGCCTTTTCAGCAAACTGAAATCTGATGCTGTTTGAACAGTAAGATGTTCTGTGCTTCTTTAAACGTGGAAAAACAGATGTAATACTAAAAAGTGAGCTCATCAAGAACTTACTATATTTTTGGCAGGTACAGCTAAAAGCTGAAGTTGTCATGCACCCGTGAATGAGTAGTGTTACTCTTGCACATCAATGGCCTCTGTGCCAATAATTCCAGACTCTTACAACCATGTGTTGGCAGAATTTGAATGTTTGGATCCGTTGCTTTCTGCGCTCAGGCTGGATTCGAGTCGTCTGAAGGTGAGTTTGTGGTGTTTGGTGTTTTATTTTGGTTTTTTTCGTAATTCAAATAATGACCTTATGTGCTTTATTATCTGGTTAACCCACAGGATTCATCTCTTTCTTTTTGGGTGTGTGCATGCTAGCTTATGGGGGGAACGCTTTGGGAAGAAGTAGTAGTGAAGACAAAGGATCCTATTACTCTGTGCCTGTGTTTTCTTAATGTAGCTGTTGGGGTAAATAACATAGCCTTACACAGTTGCTGTCCTCTACTGTTCCCTCCAGTTGCAGCGAGTGCTATTCTAATACCTTTGACAACTGTGCTGCCAGTGTTTCAGGAGTGGTACACACACCTGGCAAACAAAGAAGCCTTTAAAAAGTAACATGATACAAGGAAAATATACTGTTACTGGTACTTACTAGCAGCCATGTTGCACATAATGATTTTTATTCCTTCAGTGCACGTGTATAGCTGTGTCGAAGAGATGGCTAGCTCTAGGCAGTTCAGGAGGAGGTCTGAACCTTATACAGAAAGATGGTTGGAAGCAAAGACTCTTTCTCGCTCATAAGGTAAGGGTAAAGAATTTCCAAAATTTCCAGGGAAATGGGACGGGGAAAGAGGCACCGTTTCAAGATAATTTTTATTAAGAGTCAACAGGCATTTTCAGTTTGAATTGTGCAAAGAGGTGAATTTTTGGACTGTTCCATTTGAAAAAGGTTGTGGTACTGGAGTGTATCCTCGGAGAGTGTGATGTAATAGATTTTATGAGGTGTGAAAGAAATTACTCGAGAGTGTCAGACCTTTGTTTTTCAAATTCTTACTTCTAACAGCAGCAGCAAAGTCACCTGAATATTTAAGAATTAGAAGAAAACTTTGAACATGAAACCAGACGAACTCGTGTAGATAACTACCAGGGTTTGGATGCTCAAACTGTGAACTACCTGGCTAAGCAAAGAAAAGATGGGCTGGATTGCTTTTGCTGAAAGAGATTATGGAACAGGGATTGCTGTTTCTACAGCCAGGCACTATTTCCTGGGAGCCACTGCTGCTCCTACTGTAACATGAAGGCAGCCTTTTTTTTAAGGTTGGGAGCATCTCACTTAGTTCTCACGAAACAACTCCCATAGGAGCGAGGACAGGAGACTGATTTCTGTGTTTTCCAAACCAGAGAATGAACTGCAGTTGTTCTTCTTGATGTTTTCATGTTGTTGTTGGCTGCGTCTTTTTAGAGTAAACCCAGTGTTTCCAAACAAAACAAAAACAAAAAAACCCCCACCCACATCGCAACAAAGTGGTAGCAGGTTTTGATGTGCATCTGGTTTATATCTTAGAGATGAAAGTTGTGTAGTGGTAAAGGCAGTGCAAGAACAACTTTTACCTGCACTTAACTCCCATACTTGTTTTCAGGAAGGTGCCATTTCCCGGGTTGCCTGTTGTTTACATGATGAAGACTATGTTGCTGTTGCCACCAGGTAAGTGATGTACTTACAAGCCTAAGTTCTAGATAAATATTTTTAAGTAGCTTCTAAGTTTCAGACATGGACATCTACTGAGAACTTGGAGGGGGATAGGAAATTAACTGGTAGACACCCCTCATTTTTTTCTGGAATAATTGTTCCAGAGGAAGTATTATTTCTGTAACAGAATATCTGTGGGAGACATAATGCATGCGTAGTTATGATGATAAATGTCTCCTTGAGACCTTTCAGCATCGAAAGAAATATCTTCATTAACTTGGCAGAGTGAGATTGGTAGTTAATACCACTTAAATTGTCTAAAATCTATTCAAATGCTGATTTTTCTGCATCCTCATTGGCAATTCCAGTGAATGTGAGAGTAGCCTTCCAAAGCTGCTGATACATTGTAGTGCAAGGAAGGACACTTATTCTTCTTCAGAATTAAGAACGTGACACTTCTTGAAAGCATGCAACTTTGAACACAACCAGCTCTGAGATGTACTACTTTGCTTAGATTTTCTGTTTTTTTGCAATAATGCATCTTTATCAATGATAAAACATTAGAAGACTTATTCTCAAATAGTATTTTTTTTTTTAATTATTGTAGCCAAGGTCTTGTAGTAGTCTGGGAGCTGAATCAAGAACGTCGTGGGAAGCCAGAACGGATTTATGTTTCCTCTGAGCATAAGGGCAGAAAAGTCACAGCTCTCTGTTGGGATAGAGCTGCCCTTCGTGTTTTTGTGGGAGATCATGTGGGAAAAGTATCAGCCATCAAGATTAACACATCGAAACAAGGGAAGGTAAAATGTCACATACTTTGTTTGAGATTAAGAGGTTCTTGGGGGATGATGTGTGGAATCTTTTTGTTTATTTTAGTAAAGTAGAACACAGAAAACGTGTCAGCTGATGAAGTTCTGGTATCTTTGAAGAACCAGTCTATCGAGACAATAGTAGAGATCTTAACCTGTGAACTTCCCCCACCCCCTCTTTTAGCTATTTTAGTAATGCAACATAAAAACGCTTTCAAATGTATGGAATTAAAAACTGGCCAAGCTTCTTCCTCCTGGAATTTACAAGTATAAGCCCAGGGTCTTGGTGTTTCTGAGCCTGTTGGATTCTTTAGACTCCACCTACAGGTTCATCTGTGTGTTTTAGTCCTCAGCTCAGCTCTTGGTCTGAGAAAGGGCAATCCTAGACTCCGATTTTGCTTGTCTCTGTCTGGATACTGTTATCTTTAAAGGTGTGAATTAGTTAAAATAAATGGTAGGTGTACATCAGGCTAACATCAATTACATTTTGTGCAAAAGGCACACAAATGAGTGATACCAGCCTGATTTCTAGCCCTTGAGTGTTCTTTAAGTTTTACCATTACTAGATCTTTTCCTTCTCCTTTTAATCTCTAAGGAGCACAACCTGGAAATAGGTGTGTTCCTCCAGGTCCTTTCTAGCCCTTATGAAAGATTTTGACGGAAAATGGACTTAAAAGTAGCAAGATTACTGCATTTAAAGAAAGAGCAAAAAAAATTCAACCCTGGAAAGAGAGGGGAAAGCAGGGAATATGCCCATGGAATATGTGTCTTCTCATGCCTGTTAAAGGAATTGGACTGTTGAATCTCTCATGTAATGCACTTTGTTTGAAGTAGGGAATTGACACATTCCTAACAAAGAAAACAGCTTTAAACTGTCAAAAATGGTGACCACCTGCTAGAAAATTTGAGTGCAGTCCCCAGTAGTTTCTTATTCATAAGAAGTCTGTCTGTGATTTTGTTTTGCCACCCATGCAAACTGACATTTGTATAGTAAGTAGTATTTGGGTAATATGCTGCAGGGTAATGGAGAAAGTGAGTTCATGTAAACTACCTAAATCCAATGGAAGTTGATTTTTGTATCAAGTAATCCCTCAGGTCTGTCTCCATGCAACTGTTTGCTGGCTGAAAGTACATGTGGCAGACAACTCACAAAAACACAAAGCTTACAAGAGCAAGAATAAAAACCTTTCTTAAAGTTACAAACCCTATACTCTTTATAAAGAAATGGCAGGATGCTAGAGGGATACAATTTTTTTTTTCCTTAAACCTTCAGTAATAATAATGGTTTTGGGTAAAGGAGGATTTAGGCTTTTATGCCTCCTAAGTATTGAAGCCTTGTTTGGTGAGGGAGAGAGAAGAAAGGAACTGCTTTGTCTTATGCTGTGTATTCGTAGCATACGAGAGCCTTTTCTGAATTTTGTGATTTTAACTTAATGAAATAGTCTTTACTTTGAACTGAGGCCCTCTATGTTTTCTTTCTCTTTTTTTTTCTTTTTAACTGTAGGCTGCTGCTACTTTTGTGATGTTTCCTGTTCAGATTATAACCACTGTAGATTCTCGGGTTGTTCAGCTTGATTATTTGGATGGAAGACTGCTCATATCTTCACTTACACGCACTTATTTGTGTGATACTGAGAGGCAAGTTATGTTTTAGTTGTAAAATACTGGACTTCAGAGTCACACAGAGTTTCTGAAGTGACTTCTGGAGATCATCTAGTCCAATTTTGCTTCTGAAAGTGGAGCTGGGTAAAGTAGGTTGTGCAGGACTGTGTCCAGTTAGGTTTTTAACATTCCCAAGGATGGAGACTGCAAAAGCTCTCTGGGCAACCTTTTCCAGTGATTCACCACCCTCACAATAACAGAGCTTTTTCTTATGTTGAAATGGAATGTCCTGTATTTCCATTTGTGCCCATTGCTCCTTGGCCTTTCACTGGACACCACTGAGAGTAGTCTGGCTTTGTCTTCTTTACGCCCTCATCAGGTATTTATAAGTGTGGGATCAGATGAGTTCCACCCCTGAGCCTTCCCTGTTCCAGGCTGATCAGCCCAGCTCTCTCAGCCTCTTTTTAGATGACAGGTGCTGCAATCCCTTAGTCATCTTTGTGGCCCATTGCTGGACTTGCTCCAGTATACCTCTGTCTTTCTTGTACTGGAGAGCCTGGAACCGGACCCAGCACTCCAGATATGTCTTGCCAGTGCCGAGAAGAGGGGAAGGATCTCCTCCCTTGGTCTGTCAGTACTCTTCCTAATGCAGCCCAGGAAGCTTTTGGCCTTCCTTGGCAAAAAGGTGCATTGCTGACTCATGGTCGGCTTGTTCACCAGGACCCCCAGGTCCTTCTCTACAGAGCTGATTTCCAGCCAGTTGGCCTGTCCTGGTGCCTGGGGTTATTCCTCCCCCAGTGCAGGACTTTGTGTTTCTCTGTGCCTGTTTATCTAGTCCACACTTCCTCAGTTTATCTGTGAAGATGCTAGGAGGTGAGTTGTCACAAGCCTTACTGAAGTCAGGATAAACAACATCCACTGCTCCCCTCTCATCTATCAAGCCAGTCATTCTGTTGTTGTAGAGGGCTGTAAACATGATTTTCCCATTGTAAATCCATACTGACGATTCATAACCACAGTCTTCTCTTTCATATGATGGGAAATGGTTGCCAGATCATTTGTACCATCACCTTCCCATCACCAGGTTGATCGACTGGTTCAGCTGAAAAAAAAAAACACCTTCATGGTCTGAGCATTTGTTTAAACTAATAAATATTCCTGCACCCTATCTTTTATAAACTTCATGCAGGCTTTGTAATACCCACTACAGATTTATTTTTTTTAAGCACCAAAACCAATTCATCAGCTAGGATTTAGTATTTTTTGAGAACAACATAAAATTAATTAGAGCCTTTATTAATGCTGCCTTAACAAGAATGTTTTTTCCACTAGAGAGAAGTTCTGGAAAATTGGTAACAAAGAGAGAGATGGAGAATTTGGAGCATGTTTCTTCCCTGTTGGAAAAAACGGTGGGAATCAGCAGCCATTAATATATTGCGCTCGACCTGGCTCAAGGATGTGGGAGGTGAACTTCGATGGGGAAGTGCAAAGCACACATCAGTTCAAGCAGCTGCTTTCATCACCGCCTCTCCCTGTTGTTACTCTCAGGTAGAAGCATGAGTGTTACTGGTGATAAACTTGCTTGGGACTTCTAGACTAACTGAAAAGAACCGCCTTGATACTCGGAAGGTTAGATAACCTCCTAGTGCAGTCAACCATTAATTCTAGCTGTCATCTTAATACGTTCTCCTCTAATAATGGAAATCAGTATCTGAGTTACCAAAAATGCCAAAGCCTTGATTCTGCATGTGTGTCTGTGTGACTACTGCAATAAATGCTGCTATTGTAAGTCTGTGTTTACTTAAGACAGCCTTGTAATTCCAGGGTTAAGAATATTATATTAAGGAAGTGATACTCCTGTAGTTATGCTTATAACGGATACTAATTTTACTTCACAGGCTGGATCCTCATTATACTAGTTCCAGCTGCTCTCCACAGTCTTTATCTTTCCCCAAGCTACTCTATTTGACGTGAGTATTTGTCAGCATAGCTTCCTGTTTATAAAGCAGACCTAAAAATAAAAAAGTTGTGTATTATTAACTTCATCTTTTTGCTTAAGAATTTTCCAAGTATCATGCTAAACAACTTAATTCTTACTTGCTCTACTGAAGCCAATGCCATCCCTGCATATTTTACAGTGACCACCACAATTAACTGTTGCACTGTTAACGTCTCCTTTGCTTGCAGTGAGCACTGTGTGATGACCTGGACAGAAAGAGGCATTTATATTTTTCTTCCCCAAAATGTTCAAGTCTTACTCTGGAGTGAAGTAAAAGGTAAACTAAGAATCTTCACTTCGTAATAATGTCTGTTATGTTTGTCACTTCTGAAGTCCTTGCCTAACATGGAGCCTTTTTAAGCTCAATTTGTGCAGCTGAACATTGATCAGAAAACTGTTTTTCCTTGTCATCAGTCAGGTAAATCCTTGAATATTAACCCTCTCCCCACCTCCTCCAGCCAACGCCTCCCTCTGTACGTCTGAAAACATGCTTGAGAAACAAAACATGGTGTAGAGTGAGTGAATCTTAAAATGCAGTAATCAAATAGTGAGAAGTAATAACTTGCAGTATTAGTGAGGAAAACCTGACAGTATCCTTTCCTCATTTCTGTTTATTCATGTTTATTGTCCCGTGAAAGATAATCTGGCAGCTGAAAGCTTAAAACCTGTTTTTTCTAACACCTGTCTAAATTGGAGCCAGGGAATGTACTTATTTGGCAGATGAGTGAGGCTTCATAAAATGTTTTTGTGTGTGTGGTTTCAGGCATAATCCTAGAACAGTTAGGGATTGTCAGTCAGTCTTTTTCCTTCCCCTTTTCTTCCCCCTTTTTTGGTGTTAAGTCTCCAATGCTTTATTCATGGAGTGTTTGCATATAGCATAACTATTTCATTTGAAAACTGCTGAAAGATGAAAGTGTTCTTCTACTAGAAAACATTTTCAAAGCTAACAATGATGTATTTCTTATCTTTTTTAGTCTTTAGTTTTTCATCCCCCTTCAGAGGAAAAGAAAACTTTTCAGTAACTTTAGTGTACTTCTTGAATGCTTTCTAGAAATGCCACCCTGGGTGTTTTTGATACTTTCACTGTGCTATATAGCTGTTAGATGCTAGCTTAGCACTCTTCAGTATGTGTTTTCCCTCTACCACTTGTGCTACAGTGTGTTTGTCTTTTGCACACATTTGCAGTCAAATGGGAGATATGTTCTCACCTTCTTTCAGGAACAGAAAGCAATGTTGACTAATGAGTTCAGTCCTTTAGATATTTTTGTGCATCTGGTTTTGCAGATATTCAAGATATTGCAGTTTATAAAAATGAGTTGTTCTGTCTGCATACAAATGGAAAAGTTGTGCACCTCTCCCTTCTGCTGGTAGACCGCTGCATAGAGCGTCTAATAAGAAGAGGATTCTGGACACTTGCTGCCAGGGTCTGTTGTCTCTTCCAAAATTCAATAATTTCTTGCAGAGTAAGTACATACCTCTTTGCAAATGTGCAATGCAACCTCACTCTGTTTCCTGTCCCCCTCTTCCATTAAGTTCCATAGGTTTCTGAGTTTCATTTTTTTTGAGTTTTTAAAAAGTCTTCTAAATGTTGTACTTTTCGGGTGAAAATTAGCCTGCATATATGGTACCTTTTGCTTTTCACATGTGCATTAGAAAGAATAATGTTTCTGTTTCACTGCATACTTTTAGGCAAGAAAAAATTTGCCGCTAGACAAGCTGGAGCACTTGAAGTCTCAGCTGGATGCCTCGACCCAACAAGATGTCATTACACAGCTAGAAGAACTGATTTCAAAGTTGGAACCTCTAGATTCTGCATGCAGCAGTAGAAGGAGCAGTATTTCATCTCATGTTAGTGTACTGGTAGTGCCAAAAATGTTACCTGCATATTTTACCTTTATAGCTTAAAATCACCTTGTTGCTTGCTTTGAAGACGAGGCTTTCATTTTTACCATGTCTACTATAGCTGATAATGCTACTTTCTAAAACTAGGTGGGGGTAGAGAAGTATGACATACTACTACTTGTATGAAATACTTGCATTCTTTAAGCTCTTAGACCTCTGCCTTTTTTTTCCATATTATTTTGTGGCTAATGGTTGAGATGTGGACAAAGATTGATACAAAGAAGACTTTCTCCACAGCTGAGTTTAGTGTCTTAACATGCTTCAGGAAAGGTCATCTTGATTGTAACTGTAGTTTTATGTGGTGAAAACTGAATGTCTGAATGCTCAGAACTGTCCTAGCCCTATTTAAAAAATTGTGTCACTCTATGAAACTTAAACAGAAAGCTCTAAGGAAAAAAAAATCAAAGCATATTTCTAATAATTCTGTTACATGTACAGCTGCTTGGTATTGTCTTGGCTTCCCAGCAGCTTTTTGAAAAAGGGGAAATATTTCATAGTTAATACAATATCAGTTGCTGCTTTCACTCTAACAATGTTTACTTGGGTTTTTAAACTTTACTTTTTAATGTGAACTCCATCTTGATGTGGTAGACGAGTTTTTTTTCATTAGCAGATGGGAAAGTAAACTACATAGACTGCTCATGAGCAAAAGAATGTACGTGTGTCCTAGAGCTAAAAAGTTTTGCAGGGTCTGTAATTGTGCTAGCTGGGTATGGTTAACCAGCAAAAAGAATACAGACTCTTGGGTAGGCAGGCACAGAGGGGTGAAGTGACAGTCTCGGATGCAGGACTAAAGCAGAGATGGTTTTTGTCTTAGTACGTACTAAGTACACCAGTTGTTCCGCAGGCTGCTTTCTTAAAAGCAATTGCAGCATACGCATCTTTATAAAGTCACTGGACTGCACGCTTTTCAGCATGTGTGTACTTTTCCATTCTGGATATGTCAGAAATACGCCGTTACATAGGACTTTTCCAGACAGTGAATTATGAAGTGCTGTGAGGTTATTTGTGTGAGTATGGTTGTTAGAGTTCATTGCAGGACGTTTAACAAGGAAGTACAACTCGCACATCTAACTCCTCTCCCTTGTCTGACAGGAAAGCTTCAGTGTCTTAGACTCTGGAATATATCGTGTTATCAGTCGAAGAGGCAGTCAGTCAGATGAAGATTCATGTTCTCTCCACAGTCAAACGTTCTCAGAAGATGAGAGACTTAAAGAATTTCCTGCACACCAGGAAGATGAGCAAGTAGAACTTGGTAATACTTCTTAATTGAAAATATGTTATTCAGATGCAATTTATATTTATTCTATGAGAATTTGATTGGGTTGGCTCTGTGTTCTTATTTTCCACCATCAAGTTATCCATGATTAAATCCTCTAATTTGATGAATAGGAACACAGTCACCTCACCTGCCAGTCAAACTCTGTCTTGAAATGTTGGGGTGAAATGCTGCCTCCACAGAAGTCCAAGCTTAAAATCAAACACAACCCAGAGAAACAAAACAGAAGGTCTAGAGGGCTTTTACCAAGCTAGGACTTCACTCAAATTTCTGCGCCCCTCCTCTTTGTGCAATTCAGCATTAATGCTATGATTCTCTCAGCTGACTATGCCCGTGTTAATTGAGATTTGTTTGCTGACACTATCATTCCAGTAATATTAGTTCCAGGTAAGAATTTCTTAATCTTGGCTCTGGCTTTATATTTCTTCAGGGAAAATAGTAGGCTTATGATAAGTGGTCTTAACTTTCTTGTAGGGTTTAATTTGTAAAGGGGATCATCTCTTACCTTTGTATACATTAGTATAGGGATGATAGAATCGTTATTAGCTAACATTTAGACCATCCAGGGAGCTTTTTTAATTTCCTAACAAATATCTGTCATGGGGTGAAAGCTAGAGTGGGACAACAAGGGGTCTTGTTGGGATTGGGAGAGGATGCAGAAACCCAGGATGATGAGCTGCTGGCTTAGTTCCAGGCATGGTAGAGAGGCTTTCCAATAAAAAAAAGCTGCTCTTCAGCTTTTGCAGAGAGAAGATGCCAGTTGAGGATGGAGAGAATTCAGGTGCTTTGTTGGGGGAAAACCATGATGGGGAGGGAGAGTATAGGAATCAGTATTTACTCCCCTACTTGTCAGTAGTGTTACCCTGCCGACAAAGCTACATGCAACATGTTTGTAGCATGCTTACTTTTGCCTCTTTACCTACATCACTGTAAAAACAACAGGTGAGAAAACTTGGAAGTGTATAACTTCTGGTACTAAATCTCTAAAATGAAGGGACATAGTTTTTGAATGTCAGAAGATAGAAAAGTTCTCACTTCAAAAAAAGGTAACAAATTTTCTGATTATTTCAAAGTGGAGAAGTTCTAGGTGATTCTTGAAACGTGTACTTAATTTGGTATTTAAGACAAATGGACTTAGTGTTTCCCTGTTTAGATTTACGTAAGATGTCATAAGTTTTTAGGCTCCTAATCTGCATAACGAATACAAGCAGCCTTATTTAAAAGCAATCATAAAATCCGTTGTGATCTTTAGGCACTGTCTAGAGAGGCTGAGGATTCTGATGGTAGAATTTCTGTGACAGCATGGCATCTTTTCCTCTCAACAGTGGAGGCAGTGCTGACCATTGCAAAACGCAGTGTTATCCTTGCTTAAAAGGATTCTTTTTTCCTTATTTAGATCACTTAAAGATACAGTATGTGTTTGTACCCAGAAATGATTAACCAAAACACATTGTAGATACTGTTAGGGATGTAAGAGTGAAAAGGAAATAGTCAATGATTCTATATTTCCTGTGACTCTTACCAAAAGCCAGAGAGCTATGGGTTCAATTATATTTTGAAGTCCGTTCAAATAAAAGGGTGATTTATACCTTAACCATGGCTTACACGTCTCTGTATGTTCAGATATGATTTAGGTTTCAGGAAATCATGCAATGTGAATTGATGTGTATTTAATTTTCCTAGATGTTTAAGTAACTGCCAATGGATTAAATCAAGATTTTGTCCCCTAAACGGACTGTAAAACTACTTTTAGAAGGTAGTTTTCATACAGTTGTTGATCATCATTTGCCTTGTTATAGAGCCAAGAGCAAAGCAGACCTACCGGGTTCAATGTCATCAATAAAAAAAATAGCACTTTTCTGGCTCCCCACATTCTTCAATATTAAGTCTGAAAATATCTTTTCATATTTTCAAAATATGCAGGTTATCCATGAATGAATTAGTGACTTGTGGTTTGTTTCACTGTTCCATTTTTGCCAGGCCACTGTTTCATGTTTCTTTATTTCAATTCCATTTGTTAGACAATGTATCTCATGCATCTGTGACGGTTGAGGCTGACCGGAATGAGACATTTCTCCCATTCAGTATTCCTTTGTCATTTCGTTCCCCATCTCCTCTCGTCTCTCTCCAAGCTGTCAAAGAAAGGTAAAACTTGCAGCAGGCTCACTCATCCATTACATCTTTCCCTTTTCTGTCCTCTGAATTTGTAGCATTGTCTGGTTTAGTTCATACTCTGTTCTGCAAAAATGTGACATCTGAACTGAAACACTGGAGATGCAGTCTAGCTGCTAGACAGTTGAAAACTTCCATCTTGGCTCTAATGAAGATATGAAGAGCTGCTGTTAACTTCAGTGGAGCCAAGATTTCAACCTCCGTTTTTAAATGTCTAAGAATGTTTAAATGTCTAAGAATGTTAAACATTATACTGTAAACTGTGGTTGTGGTTTGTATTCAAAGCAGGCTTACTGAATATTGGTTTGGGTTTTTGTTTTTCTGGTACTTAGATTTCTGAAGAATGAGTGAAGGCTTCCTATGTTGCTTGGGGACAAACATTAAAATATTCAAAGCATGCTAGATATTGTTAAAACACATTGCAAAGTATACCATATGGCCTGCCATATCCCCGCCCCCCCTCTTTCGGTGAATCTAATCAATTCCCCAAGCATTTGTGGAAAAATGGTAGCTCATCCCTGGTGCAAGTAAATATGGTAGTGTCCATTTTATGCAGAAATCAAATTGCTATTTTAAAATTCGCTTTAAAAAAGGGGGCAAATATAAAGGAGATAGTGTTAAATACATAACTTAAAAGTTTGAAAAAAATTATGTATGTTAGTTTCTTACCTAAAATGTTGCTGGCCTTCAGCTTTTGCTATACCTTGGTATAGTAAAAGAGGTCATTCTCTGGCAAGCATGTAAGAGGGTTGCTTTTTTCTTTTTTCTCGATGTTCTTGAGCAGAGAGTAAGAAGCTGATTTTTCTGTTCAACTCTTGATGGCATAGTTCTCTTCATGGCACTGGTAGAAACAACTGGGTTTTGGTATGGTCACTGGGCTTTCTCTTGAATAAAATATCTGAAGGGATAGGGACTGATGACATGAAAAGGACATTTTTAGTGAGCTGTGTAATCTGAAGAACTAGAGTATTGTAAAACTGTTTCTTGTCACCAAGAGAGACATAATTTCCTAATGATGCTTTCTGTTTGTAAGCTTTAAAATGTAGTGTAGCCAATCTGCATTTATTTGCATATGAATATATGTCAAAATCTAAGCGCTAATGTTAGCAAGTAATCCTGTACCTCCAGCAGCAAAAAACCCAAGTCTTAAATACTTCAGGTTTTTATTCTGTTCTGGAAGTATGGATTTTGAGCAGCTTCTTAGTGAGTTTTGTTCTTGTTAGTCATTGCTTTTCTCAAGAGTTCTTCAGATTATAAAGTTTTCTGAAATCATGGTTTGCATGGAAAGAAAGTGCTTGATTTGTTTGCTTTTGAACTTCCAGTTTTAAATGTTTGAACTTCTGACTCCTAGTGTTTCCAGCTTTGTACGCAAAACTACGGAAAAGATTGGCACACTTCATATAAGTCCTGATACTAGAGGGAGGCAAGAAGCAAAGGATGACGAGCAGCTGCAAGAGTTGACTGTTAATCTGGTAGCATCTCCCCAGGAAGAGAAAGAGTGAGTACAAAATCAGGTTTTCTTAGCAATTGCATTTGCTGGGGATTCTGAGGATAGCAACCTAAAGCAAGAACTACCGTTTCAAGTAGAATGGCAAGCTCAGTGTTAGTTTTTTCCAGCTGCCTTTGTTACTATGGTGGGTTTCACTGGTTCTCCCTGACTCCTTTCCTAGAAGCTGATTAGGCAACGAATGCTTACGGGTGGTGGAGCATGCAGTCTCCACAGTGCTGTAACAACTGAAGAGGAAGAACGTATTGTATTACGCTACATGAGAATTGCTGATCTGTGATGCTCACTATAGTTATGGACATGAATCCAACAGTTGATTTCCTGGCCTTTCTGAGTGGGGAGTAAACACTTTTACCTCCCTAAAAACATTATTTCTTTTTTTTTTTTTTAAAGATAATTGTAGCTATAAAGCATTTAACTTCTTTAATGGCTGTCCAATTAGTACAGAACTAAGTTATTTCATATTCCAATGATTTGCTAATTTACCATTTTGGACTAATTTTCATGTAGTGGCATGATACTGATTTTTATTCAGTACCTTCAGAAATCTTGTGTAGATGGAGTAGAAGCCATTATAGAAGACCACAAAAATAGTATTATTGGTTGCTCTTCATGGCCAATTAATCCATAATGTCTGTTGAGCTGTTCCTTCTTTAGAAATGAAAGCTTTGTATTTTTTTAATAAAGGAATTAATCTTGTTTTCTCAGAAATTCAGGGAAATCTGTGAGGAAATCTTCACTTGCATTATGAAAGAAAATACTTCAGATAAGACTGAAATTAACGTGTTTTTCTAGGTTAGAACCACAGAGCTGCCAGCTTCCAGAGGAAGACCATCTAAGAGATCTCAAGGCTGCAACAGCAGAAGCAATGTAAGCAGGGAAACTTTTTAGTGTATAGATATATTGGAGTTTGGTAGAAAAATTGTTGCTTTTTTAAATGACTTTTTTTATTATTATTCATTCCATACATGTAAGAGTAATGCTGTAAATGCCTGTTAATATAATCTGAAAGGATCTCATTTGGTTAATGATTTGTTCCCCCTATTTAAAACCAAGCAAAACCCACTAAAAGCTTATTTAGGTACTCTAGCATTATCCTTTTGTCCTAACTACAAGCATAGTTTAAAAAAAACCAAAACCGCCTAACAAACAAAAATCCATTCTGAAAGAAATCTTGAGGAACTCAGAAGGTACTAGTATCAAGCTAAGTAGCCTAAATTCTGTTTGATACACTCAAAACCACAAAAAACAACCACTGACTGTAAGTCAAGTTTAGGAATATACTTTGAGTTACACAAAACTTATACTTCACTTGTGGCATCTTATAACTGTCAAGCAACTTAGCAAACTTCTTTTTTTATGCTACAGAGCCAAACTCCAGGATCCCCTGGTTTTGTTAGAACCACGGTGTATGAGAAGGGTTTTACAGGAATGGCTTATCTATCTAGAAGAAAAGTTCGGCAGCAGGGAGCGTTCTGATTCCTCTATTAAGAAAAGCAAGACTGTGTGTACTGAAAAAGAGAGGGCAGTCCTGGAGGAAAGCCTACGACTGGATCCAACTGATGGAGACCCTGCAGACAAAGAACAGAGTAGTATCTTGGAAGACTGTGCTGAAAAGGAAAATACTGATGAAACCTGTGTAAGCGAAGCTGTGTATGAAAACAGTACTGATTTGAAGGGACCGTTGGACTGCTGCTTTCAAGTTTCTCCTCCATGTGTCATAGAACAGGATGTTCACAAAGATCTCGTTGAGTTGACAACATTGTGTTTTGAGCTGCGTGTATTTTCTTGTGGAAATGGTAAGGCAGAGGAAAGCTCTGATGGAAGTCTGCCACTAGCAGCTTCATGGACCTTGGCTTGTAGGTTTATGCGAACCTACTTCTTCCTTTTGGATTTAAAAAGACTAAAGCAGTGTATTATAACCATGTATGCAACCAGTCCTCATGTATGGGAAACATACATCGCAGGATTGAAAGGTAACTAATGAAAATTTTATTACTAGTGAGCTGAAAGTAAGACTGGGAGAAAAAAGAAAAAAGCTTGAAGACACTCTCATTTGTGTCTGCAAATTTTCCTTCTGCAGGTGTAGTGTGTGAAGCGGAGGATGTTTGATGTGGGGGAGTTTTCGTTCTGGTTTTGGGTCATTTGGTTGTTTTTTTTTCCCCCAAACTTACGAAGAACTGCTGGCTCCTTGGGAGAGACTCTTTCTCCCCTTCCCCCACTTTGCAATTCTGAACCTTTTAATTTATATGGAGCTTGTTGGTTGAACACTGTAGTGATTACAGACCAGGTCTATTTAAAAACAAATACATGTGCATCAAAGAGCAAAAGCATCTTAATTAGAATCATATGTCTATGGAAAGAAGGCAAAAGCTAGGGGAAGGGCTTCAGTATTTGCACTGGAAAGGGAAGATTCATCTTCTAGAGAAATGTGGTTAATGTGAAACAAAACTGAATGAAATAGATGGTTCCATGCAAGTGAGTGGCTTGTGATCACATCAGACTTACTTTTTTCTCAGATATCCTTTCTGATCTTTTTGATGCCTCTTTAGCCTTATTGAACCAAAACTTCCTGATTATACTGGAAAACACAACTTCATCTGTTCTCTGCATTCAGCTTCTGCTTTATTCATTTCTTTTAAGAGTGAATTAAAGTCTTAGCATTGATTTGGTGCCAACAGAGAGTAGTCAAACAACAGAATCTTGCTTTGAGGGTTGGTGTTTGGGTTTCTGGGAATCTGTTCAGTATTTGGATTCTGAGAGCTCTAGAAGTGAAAGTAATGCATGCATTCCCAGTTTGTCCACAGTTGGTCTGCACTTGTACCTGTAGATTAATACTCGCATTTCATCAGCATCAAGGTTTGTGTTGAATTCTGCATTCTGTGAAGTCAGTGTCCAAGCTGAAGGTTTTATTTATTAATAGAAGCAAACTGTAATATATGAAAACTGATGCAGATCTGCATTATATTCAGCAAGCTGCACATCCTGTAGTGGGCTTTTTTCACATGAGAGAAAAATTGCCTCCTTACAAGTCTAAAGAAAAGTCAAATATATCAAGAATATTATTCTTTGCCTTAATTGTATAATTTTATAACTGTAATTTGCTGTAAGTGCAGATTAGTGATGTTGATTTCTGTGCAATGAACAAGTAGGATCTGTTCACTTGTTACTACTGTTAGCTAGAGAGTTCCATGAAAGTAGTGATAACTTTTGTCCTTACGCTTAACAACAGCCGTGTGTGTCTTAAGAAAAAAATAAACAACAACTTTGCCCATATCATTTAACTTGTGCACTGATTTATTTCAGAACTAACTTGTCACAGTCCAGCGGCTTTAGCAATGGAAAATGAAGATATGTTGAAAATACTGAAACAGCTGCATGACCTGGGGCCTTGGGATGATAGTCCGTTGTTACTGGTACATGCTCAAAGGTTTGTAACCAAGTCTTTTTTTTCCTTCTTCTTCATTGTTGTTAATATGCTAGCAGGAATTGGTTCACCTAACATTTCATGAAGCTTTCTGGGAATCTTTTAAAGAGATTACCTTTCAATACTGTCTTGTACTTGCAAGAGATCTTGGAAAAATAATAATTTTGCTGTTTGGTACTGAAAATAGTTTTTATCTTCTCTCCAGGCTTTATGAAAAATTTGGGGAAACAGCTCTTCGGCCCTTGATCAAGTTCCATCCCTCTATTTTGCCTTCTGATATCAAACAGCTTTGCAGGAATGATCCAGCTCACTTCTTAGCATATTTAGATAGTCTGGTGAAATCAAAGCCAGAGGATAAAAGGTAAAGAGAGTACAGAATCTTTTTCATCTGTCTGTTCTCTTCGTCATGTAGCTGTGTGTGGGTTTTTTGGTTTTGGTTTCTGGGGGCTTTTTTTTTTACTGTTTCTGTATCTACCTGCTTGGTGTTCTTTAGCATTACATTCCAGTTCCTTCTGCCAGCTTTAGTTGGTTTCTCAGACTGTGGTTTTTTGTTAGACTAGATGCTAGTTTTTAACAAAGTTTTTCTAAATAATGGTTTCAATGGAACTGACTGTTTTTGTTCCTATGCCTGCAGTTCAGTACACCAAAGTTACACAGCATTAAAAAAAAAAAAAAAAAAAATCTGGGAGAACCCAGCCTACCAACTTGATGGTTTCCTGTGGTCCCCCTCAGTTTCTAGAAACATACATCATTCTAGGCTTTTCTATATTTAATTTTACATCAATTTTCTGGGTTTCTTTTTCTGCACACGATCGTTACTTCTCTGTATCTGGTATATTTAAAACTGGTAGGGTTTTTGCTGTGTGTTTTGCTTTCTAGGTCATTTCTCCTTAGATCTCTTCTGCAGCCGGAATCTGTACGACTGGATTGGTTGTGCTTGGCAGTTTCTCATGATGCACCACAAAGGGCAAATACAGTGGATCCAGAAGGAAATCCCAGGTAAAGTAGGGTTCACCCAAGGTCCTGAGTGCAGCAAAAGCTTTAATGGGTCTGCAGGCTTTTGTCTTAAGATTTTTTTCTTATATTTTGTATGACAGTTTGGCTGTCACTGAATCCTTCAAGCATTCTGCATGCTGCAGAGTTCAGCAGAAGCAACCAAAGGATTAAACAACTTCATATGTAACACTTTTCAGAGTGACTGCTCTACTGAGATTACACAGTGTTTAATTCGTTTTTCCTTCTCATATACCTGCTTTTTTGTAGAGACAGCATAATGTTCTGAAGAAAACCATTAATGCTTTAAAACTGAATTTCTCTTCTTGCAGGCCACGATCACATTTGTTTACTTGGGGCTACAGCCAGCTCATTCTGCTTTTGATTAAACTCCCAGCTGATTTTGTTACAAAAGAGAAGATGGCTGACATCTGTAAATCACATGGGTAAGCAGAAATTTTGGTAATTCCTGATACTTGGTTAATTGGTATTCTGACCCCAAAAAGATACAAATGAAACCCACCCATCCGCTCCTTAATTGGACAGGATTTATTTAAAAGCCTCTCCTATTTTGAGGATGAATACTGAGTGTCCAATTTAATGCTAAGGGATATTCCCCATTTCCCCACTTTGCAGTGACTTCTGGCATTCAAGAAATTCTGTTGCTTCTGTCTTCACTGATATGTAAATGAGCATTTAATTATTGTTTATTTTAGTTTAGACTGAGTATTTGATTCCTGGAAATCTTTACTCTCTTATTCAAGATTTTGGCCTGGATATCTTTTTCTCTGTCTGGAGCTGGATAGAAGAATAGAAGCCTTTACTAATATTGCTCATTTGGATGATTTGAGCCTGTTGAATGGAGAAGATGGTTAGTGAATCTTGAACTGTGTAAACATAATTCTGTAATATAGGAACTGCCCTTATTATATACTGATCCAGTTTATCTAAATTTGAGTTGAACTTTTTTCCCCCCTGAAGTATTTTGGTAGCACTAACTGTGTGTAGTGCAGCATATTCGAAACACATAAATAGGTGTTACGCTCTTGTATCTTCACACTGTGCTTTGTGAAATCAGTTGTGCTAGAAAATGCTTAAAAGTTCAAGGATGTAGAGTTGTTTATTGGTTGGGAGTAAAAGCTAAACTTGGTGTTGCAGATAGAGGAATAGCTGGCCTCCCTGCGCAGCACAGAACTCCCCCCACTAGACATGCAGGCACACAAAGTTATGACAAGCAAAGCATTGTATCACGTGGCAGAACTTAGAAGAAAATTCCCAGTAGCCCTAGGATGGACAAAACAATTCTTTGTCTCTTGACTTAAGCCAAAGCCTTAAATAGTGAACTATTGTAAAGTTTTGTGTGTAGTTCACCACTGAATCTTTACACTGGGTGAGTCAAGGGCAATACACTTCTGTTTACAACTTGCTTGTTGCTAACGCTTAGTTTTCTTAACTCTTCACAGAGAAGAACAGAGTAGCTAGCCCCTCTTTTAAGTACAGATATATTTAAAATAGTAGGCTTAGAATAATCCTTGTTTTACAAATAACAAACTCATTTTACATCTAGGTTCCATGCCAGAGACTACAGAAGAATGGAAGTTTCTTTTGCATCTTGCACAAAATCACAGCACAGCTTTCCACCACCGTGGCCCACAGAACGGGAATGCTGTCAGCAATGGCAGCCCAAGCTGCCCAGACTGCATCACTGTGGAAAACGTAGCACTCTTGCTGGCAAAGGCCATTGGCCCAAATCGCGCCTTGCCTCTCTTACAGGAGTGTGGCTTGACACTAGAATTGTCTGAGAGATTTAGTAGTGTCTGTGAGATACTGAGAATTGCTGAGAAAAGGCAAAGGTAAGATGACACATCAACAGAAGATCCGTGTATGCACCCTATTCATTTTGGGTCGTCTAGGTGCTTAAGCTTTCTTTTCAGTTAACGAAAAGATAAAATATTTCATGTGTTTACTTTGGATTTTAAAATCAACTGAAAGCTTTTCTAATTCTTAAGAGCTATGTATTGTGCAACATAGGCATTTTTAAAATGGAAAATGAGGAAACAGGAAACCATATGTTAAAGATGGCTGTGAAGGAGATTCTCTGAAGGGGTATCTGTCTTGCTGAGTCCTGCACAGACTCTGATCTCACCTCTCCCTTCCTGAGAAGGCATGCATGGTGATTTCATGATGTTAGTTCTGAAACTCAGTCATGTTTTTGACAAACTTTTCTTTAAATAGCAAATCAAAACTCTGTTGTTCTTTCTGTTGTTAGCTTTTTTTTACTGTTTGACCTTTTTTTTTTTTTTCTTTCCCCTTCCCCTTGCTTTAATTGCAGAGCGCTGATTCAGTCCATGTTGGAAAGGTGTGACCGGTTCTTGTGGTCTCAGCAAGCATAGAAAACAACTTGGAAAACTTTGGGAACGTTTTTTTACTGTAATGATTGTATATTAAAGTGCCTCTTAAACTTACTGGGCTCTTAAAAAAAATGAACTCCTGTCTAATAGTTAAATTCTATTGAGCCAGTCTTCATCTGGCAGGTATCTGACCAGGAACTGTTGACAGTTCTTCTTTATTCCTTTGGAGATGAGTTTTGAACTCTAGAACTTAAATTGAAACAATCCAGTATTTATCTTGAAATTAAGCTCACAGATTTCTGAGATGAAAATTCCTGAATTTATTTTCTGAGTCTATATGACTTACATGTTAAGGATATGATCCCGTAAGTATTAAATTATGATGTATAAAATTTTTTGTTTGTTTGCAAACATGAAAAGCCATTCCTGAAATATCTAAGCTCATACTTGTTTAATTTTTCTGTAAAAGACATTGACTTTTTCAAGTTACTGTAGAAGTGTTTGTTATGATACTTTTTTTTTTTCCCCTCTTAAAATATATAGACTGGCCTTGCCCATTTGAAATGCATTAATTCAGCCAAGTCTTAAAATGGGAGTGAATTAACGGTTAAGAATGCTGATTAACAGAAGAACTTGCTAAACTAGAAGCATAATATTTTAAATTGCCCATATCTATTTGTGCAACATGACTATAGACATCAGTTGTGCTATTTCAACAAACCTCAGGACAGTGGAATTAGCATCATAGAATCATTTAGATTGGAAAAGACCTTTAAGATCTTCAAGTCCAACCATTAACCTAGCACTGTGAAGTCCACCACTAAACCATGTCCCTAAGCACCACATCTACACGGCTTTTAAATACCTCCAGGGATGGCGACTCCACCACTTCCCTGGGCAGCCCAATGCTTGACAACACTTTCGGTGAAGAAATTTTTCGTAATAGCCAATCTAAACCTCCCCTGGTGCAACTTGAGGCCTCTTCGTCTTGTCCTATTGCCCATTATCTGGGAGAAGAAACCAACACCCACCTTGCTCCCCCCTCCTTTCAGGCAGTTGTAGAGGGCAATAAGGTCTCCCCTCAGCCTCTTCTTCTCCAGGCTAAACAGCCCCAGTTCCCTCAGCTGCTCCTCATAAGACTTGTGCCTCCAGACCCCTCACCAGCTTTGTCGCTCTTCTCTGGACACGCTCCAGCACTTTGTTGTCTTTCCTGTAGTGAGGGGCCCAAAACTGAACACAGTATTCGAGGTGCAGCCTCACCAGTGCCAAGTACAGGGGCACAATTGTTTCCTTACTCCTGCTGGCCACACTATTCCTGATACAAGCCAGGATGCCGTTGGCCCTGTTGGCCACCTGGGCACACTGCTGGCTCACATTCAGCTGGCTGTCGATCAGAACCCCCAGGCCCTTTTCTGCCAGGCAGCTTTCCAGCTGCTCTTCCCCAAGCCTTTGATCAAATTTCTTTTTAGGCCTCTATTTTTTCCCTTTTGACTGTCAGAGTCACGTTTTTAGCAGAAGGCCATGGCATCTAGTCAATAGTTGATTTTCACAAATGTCATTTAAACAACACCACACATGGATTGGAACTAAATTTTATTAAAATCTATAATTCTGTCATGAAGTGACTTGAAAATATTTCTTTATAAAGTATCTTTTAATGTAGTTCTACAGCACTTGTACTGCTGCAAAATAATGCTTTTATTTTCATCAAAATAGGGCTTAATAATACAATTTTCAGACTTTAGAGAGGTGCAGTGTGACTATTTCATCTCATTTGCAACAAAGACTTTATTGTGGAGAATTGGTTACTTCCCTAGAGGAAATGAAATTACAGGGAGATGATTAGTGGCAGGCCTTCATCTGTTAATAAAAAAAATTCTAAAAAAGAAAACTTTAAATGTTTTGGGGTTTAGATTTTGACATTGGAAACAGCACAGATCCTTCTATCGGAAACACCCCGTGCTTTGACAGTAAGGCTTGGGATAGGAGCCAGGTACCTGTGGTGCGTGGTGAGGTTACGCAAATCAGATGATGTTGGTGCCTGCTCTCTTGCCTGCCAAACGAGCATGCTGCTGCCTCAGCAACTGTTGTGCTTAACTAACTCTGTTCATACGGTGCGTGATTGTAGTACAGCTTTAGCTGAGTACCTGGTGTTGCCCTCCTTAGAGGAAGCTGGCTGGCTTTCCAAGACTGTACCCGGCTTACCTCTCTATGCAACGGTTCCACTTCATCTGCTCTGTGTATTTTGTCTACATAGCAGTCTCTTTCTGACTTCTGTGGGGGTTTTGTACACTTGGTTAGCTTTGAGTGGGGCTTTTTTGGTTTTTTTACAATAAATAATAACTTTCCATTTAGAGCTTTTTTTTTTAAATTTGTCTCAGAACAATCATATAACTAAAATAATGGGAAGTATTTGTTCAAATTTAGTGTCTAAAGTGAGCTTGTGTTGATGATTTCAATTAACTTGGCTGTCAATAAAGAGTAAGAATTTACTTTCTGAAGAAGAGTTGGAAAATCGCTGTTTCCTATTCTTGATATGTGTGTTTTCATCTCATACGGGTAAGGTGAAGGGACTGTGAAATGGTCTTCTGTTCAGAAGTTAGAGTTGTAGAGAGCAATGCCCTCATCCTAAAGCTGCAGCCCCTACCAGCTCTTGTCAGCCAGCTCAGCATACACCACTGACAGTTTAAGCCAGCCTCTGCTGGAGCAGGTGAGCTGCAGCTCATCTTTGGTTTTGGTGACTGAATGTTGGTGGAAAGGACCCTTGAAAAGCAGAGATTAATACAGGCGGCTTTGCCCAGAGCAACTTTAAATAGAAGTTGTGTTGGTTTGGTTTTGGTTTTGGTTCCCCCCCCCCCAATATAAAAGCCTCATACCTGTCTCAAAACATTATTTTACTGTTAGAATAGTTATCAAAACCTATGGGGAAATTAATTTTATTTAAGATAAACATCTGCATACGCAATCTGTTTCTGGAAGGGGGCCAAGCCTGCAATCGTTTAACGTGTCCGCAAGCCTGAGGCCAGTGCTAGTAAATATTCCATATAGCGGTGTGGCAAAACTCCTGAAGTGAATTATTGCCTGTGTAAACTTCAGTAAAGTCTTGTTACTTCCCAGAATACAGAATAGGGAATAACGGCATCTATTATTGCGCCTGAGCTGGGAATTCACCTTGTCCCCTTTCTCAATCTGAGACTTACTTAGGTTGCAAAATGCCTACGTTGCGAAATGTTTGCAGAATGTAGCTTGCAGTTATAGGTATTTAGAACTAAAAGGCAACCAGTTTGAGGTTGCTTTTTATCTTAACTATATCAGAATGTACAAACACAGAAAGTGGTCTTACAGGGGCCCCTATATGTGTTATGTTTATGTAGTATGCGTGTGTAGCCTGTGTTTTGGTGCCAGGCCAGAAAGGAATATTCCATTCAAACCCTTATGCATGCTCAGAGGCAGCTTGCCTATTTCTGTTGCCGCAGCTTGTTTCTGAGGGCTGTGAACCAGAAAGCAGTCCAAGGGGCTATGTGGACAAGGGAGAACCAATGGATGTCATCTATCTGGACTTCTGCAAAGCCTCTGACATGGTCCCCCACAACATCCTTCTCTCTAAATTGGAGAGCTATGGATTTGATGGGTGGACTGTTCGTTGGATAAGGAACTGGCTGGATGGTCGCATCCAGAGGGTAGTGGTCAATGGCTCGATGTCCGGATGGAGACCAGTCATGAGTGGTGTCCCTCAGGGGTCCGTACTGGGACCAGTGCTGTTTAATGTTTTCATCAATGACTTAGCGAGATCGAGTGCACCCTCAGCAAGTTTGCAGATGACACCAAGCTGAGTGGTGCGGTTGATATGCCAGAAGGACGGGATGTCATCCAAAGAGACCTGGACAGGCTGGAGAGGTGGGCCTGTGTGAACCTCATGAGGTTCAACAAGGCCAGGTGCAAGGTCCTGCACCTGGGTCGGAGTAACCCCCAGTATCAGTACAGGCTGGGGGAAGAAAGGATCGAGAGCAGCCCTGCTGAGAGGGACTTGGGGGTGCTGGTGGACAAAAAGCTGGACATGAGCCGGCAATGTGCACTGGCAGCCCAGAAGGCCAACCGTACCCTGGGCTGCATCAGGAGAAGCGGGGCCAGCGTCGAGGGAGGGGATTCTGCCCCTCTGCTCTGCTCTGGGGAGACCTCCCCTGGAGCCCTGCGTCCAGCTCGGGAGCCCTCAGCAC